CTGTGAATGCTGCAAGAGTGTTTGTCTCTCAGAAAAGAATAATTCGGTTAATTTTTGATTTACCATATAGGCATTCATGTCGACAATATTTTAAAGAATACAACATTTTAACAGTACCTTCTATATATATTTTTATATGTAATAGATTTTACATGTAAAAGCCAATCTAACTACTTTTCATACTCAACTAGGCAAAATGACCTCATCAGAGTACCAAAACATAATACAGCAAGGTTTGAAAAATCCCAGTATTATATGGGTATAAGACTTTTCAATCATCTTCCCAACAGTATTACATCTGAAATGAATTTAAATAAATTTCGAAGTAAATTAAAATCTTTTCTATTGAAAAATTGTTTCTACAGTATAAATGATTATATGGGGGATGTAAATAATTAATTCTATGTATTTTTTATCCTTTTATTCTGAAATTGTGATGTTTTATAATGTATTTATATATTTTTCTTTATTCGACTTATCCTATATCATGTAAATGATCTTCCAGGATGAATAAATTATTATTATTATTTAGTAATACTAAGACAAATATTTAACACTTTAAAACAAATTATAAAATAAGCCTAACCTAATCTATCCACAGGTTACAGGACAAAATAAAGCAGAAAAAAGGAGGAGGATAGATGGGACTAAAGTACACAAATTATTAGACGTAGTGGAACGAAAATTTAACACAAAATAACAAACCTAATGCTGAAAAACAGACAGTAAGAAAACTAGAATGAGAAGGAATAAATTGATGGACAAAAACAGGCAAATATGGAGACTCATAAGGAGATCAAAAGGAAGGACAAAGACAAATGTAATATTATAATAATAGGATAAATAAAAAAGCAGACTAAGCATTTTTATCTGCACAACAAAGTAGCCATGATCTCATAAAGTCATATTATTTGGATTTGTACAGCTAATAAGTCGATTCAGACCCAACTAATTTTCAATAATGACCTATATTTTCATATTGAAAACTTTAAGGCAGAACATCAAAAAGACAGTACAGGAGTAGATCAGCGCCACAGGACTCAAAGGAAGGCTAAAGATAACAGTTTAAACAAACTAATTCCTCGACAAGTCAAGTATATGGCGGTTGGAGAGTACCTGAGGACAAAAAAGGGAGGAATACCAAGAAAAACTAGATATATGTAGTGATGGAGGATGTCATAGAGATGGGAATCAAAGAATGGAAGCTGACAGCTATGAACAAAAAACAATTTAAATTAGCTAGTCGGCAATGGGCCTAAAAGGCCTGTGAACGCTATACATACACATACAATTCTATTAAAAGAAGAAGAAAGAAGGTTAGATTCCGGATGAGGTGGAAAACATTATCAATAATATATTTTAAAATTGGCCTTTTGGTTTATATCACAGAACGTTTTCGGGCTGCCAAGTTCATCATCAGTACAGTTACCAGGTATACATGAGGAAAGCCAATAAATACACTTCTCCAAGAAATTAACGCACCACTTTGAAATATTAAAATATTTTATTATCGTTAATAAAAATTTCCATTGTAATGTTATATTTTACAAGCCCCTTGTATATGCTATTCGTACACTCTATATTTATTGACTATGTTTTATCTTCTTCTTCTTCATGTACCATGTCCTTTCAGAACGTTGGTTACCATCATAGCTATTTTAATTTTATTCACTGCCACCCTAATAGCATGCTTGTATCTACACCATACCAATCTCGCAAGTTCTTCAACCATGAGGTTCTTCTTCGTCTTGGACTGCGTTTGCCTGCTATTTTTCCTTGCATGATATTTTGTAGCAATCTATATTTGGGACCTCTCATTTTTGAACAAAATAAAAAGAAGCAAAAAATGTACTAATTCTGTAAATATACTAATTCCCAAGTGTTCACGAATTTTATTCGGCTACTGTTTAATTGTTAATTATTGTTAATTGTGTTTATTATGGAGCGTCAATCACGTAATTTAACCCGAGATGAATAAGCCCAAGCAGTGATACTGTCGGAAGAAGGTTGGAGTTACCGAAGAATTGGTCGTCGGTTTAATGTGTCCCACACATCCGTCTCTCGGGTGTTGGAAAGATTCCTCGAAACAGGGGATCATACTCGCAGACCAGGACAAAGACGAAACCGGGTAACTACCCCTATTCAAGATCGATTTTTAAGAATTTCTGCTCTTTGACAACGTTTTGTAACACATCAAAGTCTACAAATTCAGCTTCGAGACGTTCATGCTATACAAATGCCCGAGGTTCTCTATTAACTGCAGAGCATCGAAGGGGGAGACTACATTTTACATTTAGAGGCTGACTGGGAACGAGTGCTATTTACTGATGAATCCCGATTTTGTTTGTACAATAACGACAGACGTGTTCGTGTGTTGCGACCACCCAACGAACGATATGCTCAGTGTAACTTCTCACGCACCACATTTTTTGGTTTAGGATCCGTTATGGTGTGGGGTGGTATTTCTTTGACCGCACGTACGGACCTAGTGGTCATACAAAATGGAACTGTTACAGCGTAAAGGTACATATTGGAGATCCTGGACCAACATGTAGTATCATTCGCTTCTTATATCGGTGAACATTTCTTACTAATGCAAGATAATACCAGACCTCACGCTGCACAGATCGTCAGACATTATCTAGAAGAGGTAGAAATTAACACATAGGTATGGAATGGCCAGCACATAGTCCGGATTTAAATCCGATTGAAAATATCTCGGATATACTTGGTAGGCGATTAAGAGCGACACCGCTCCAACCAAACAACTTACAGGAAGTGGGAGAGAGGCTGATGCAGATTTGGAGAGAAGTAGAATAAAGTGAAATACGGCAATTAATTTTAAGTATGGGCCAACGATGTGAGGCTGCTATACATAGTAGAGGTGGAAATACTCGTTATTAAGACTTTTCTCATATTTTAGTTTACTTTTCTTATCATTATTTTTTTAGCATTTTCCGTTTTATTTTTTTTTCTCCTGTACTTAAACATTTTCTGATGATTAGACAAATTGTTATAATTACTAATAAAATGTAGAATAAATCTGGTTAACTTTTATTTTGTATTCTTTGCCTGTTTACAAATAAAATTGATTTATTGAAGTGGTGCGTTAATTTCTTGGAGAAGTGTATGTGGGTAAAAACCGTTTCAACGATGCTAACTTTGTTAATTAATACATATTTGTTGTTAAATCTAAACAACATTGTACTTTTAAACATATTTATATCATGGCAACGCAAGACTCTCGGTGTTGCCAACCGAAGAGAAGGTATCTCTATGGGTCCTCGATAGTACCTATTTATTTATTTATCGTCTGGCAATTACAACACATTTAGAACAAAATTACAAACACTAGTAATATAGGTATATGACAAACTTTAAATAATTACAAACAAACATCAAGTGTATTAACATAATCAATTGACTCTGAAGTTGCAAACAGGAAGTCTTCAGGGCTACCGTTATAGGATCTTGAGGGACACTCTTCAATAATGTGGTCGATCGTTTGGTCCTTCCCACAGTCACATTGAGGAGACGGATTCTTTCCCCATTTATGTAGCATGTATGCACATCTGCCATGTCTGGTTCGGATCCTGTTTAGAGTGGACCATGTTTTACGTGGAAGATCAAAACCTGGTGGCTTGTGGGTAATACAGGGCATGTTATTTTGCCATGCATTCCATTCTTGGGACCATGCATTCGTGATGTTGAACTCCTCATGTATCATTCTTGCCGTTTTCATTGGTGGTTTTCTAGAACGTAGACGGGTATTTCGTGCATCCTCGGTATCTTGGTGGATCGGCAGGTTTATATTGTTCATGATCTTTTTGTATACACGTGTAAGTGCGTCAACTCGTCGTAAATGTGGAGGTGGAATGTGACTTAATACTGAAAGCCATTGGGTGGGAGTTGATTTAATTGTACCAGCTATCATCCTCATAGTGATGTGCAGCTGAGTGTCGACCTTTTTTACGTGTGGACTGTGTAGCCAAACTGGGGCACAATATTCAGCGGTCGAGAAAACAAGGGCTAACGCAGTAGAGCGGAGAGTGGAAGCCGATGCTCCCCAGGTGGTATCGCAGAGCTTCTGTATAATGTTATTTCTTGTACTCAACTTTTGGGCAGTTTTTGTTAAATGCTCTTTAAATGATAGCGTTCTGTCTAGTGTTACGCCCAGGTACTTCGGTGTTTTGTTGTGGGAAAGTGTGGTATTTTCAAACCGTATGTTGAGTTCCTTTCCAGCAAGTTTATTGTTCAGGTGAAAGCAACTTATTTCTGTTTTGCATGCATTTGGTTGAAGCCGTCACTTGCGAAAATATTTGCTCAATATATATAAGTCTGCCGTCAGAACTTCTTCAGATGTTTCTAGTGTTCTGCATCGTGTAGTGAGGGCCCAGTCATCGGCGTATCCGAACTTTCTTGATTGTGTTTCTGGCATATCTGCTAAATATAAGCTAAATAGTAATGGAGAGAGCACTGACCCCTGTGGTAGGCCATTCTTAAGTTTCTTTGGTGGGCTGATATCGGTGCCCATCACTACTTGAAACATTCGGTCGTTGAGCATGCTATCTATTAAACGTGCTATTTGTTTACAGGGAATTGCACGGAGAATTTTGTATATAAGGCCCTCTCTCCATACTGTATCGTAAGCTGCCGAGAGATCAATAAATGCCGCTGAAATTTTAAGTCTTCTTTGGAAACCCGCTTCGATGTAGGTGGTGAGTGACATGACCTGGTCCGCGCAGCTTCGTTCTGGTCGAAAACCCGCTTGTTCAACTGGGATCACCTGGAACAGTTCTGTACTGATTCTATTATATATAAGCCTCCCTAATAGTTAGCACCTGATTAAAATATTTAAAATTTTAGAATATTTATATAAATTATGTTTTAAATAAAATTTTTATGATTCATATCATATAAATAGTATTTGGAATTGGAATTTTATTTTTCTTGTGGATGCTATAATAAATTACCTTCACTGATATAAACTTTTGTTTCAGTTCAATCCAACTCAAAATTCATCGCTTGGGTGTCCCTGGTATTAATAGCCTTGTCAAACTTTTTATCCATTTACTTTGCTTACATACTTTATTTTGTACTTTATGATCTGTGCATTGTGTGTGTAGCTATTTATGCGGTAAATGTAATTAATTTATTATTGATCAAATTAAAACTTAAAACAATTGATGCCATCAGAGAGCAAGAAGAGGAAAAGAATAAATAAATTTAGGTATAACGTGTTTACTACAAGATTCGTTGCACGTCATTGTTCAGTTATTTTATTTTATACGAGGAATTTCTAAAATAACAAAATTATTAAATAAATAATTTCTTCACGTGTATATCTATGGTTTGCAGGCACAAACACAAAAATAAAAAGAAATGATTTAAAAAAACTAGTAAAATTTTTTCCGCACTTGTCTTATTTTTCAAAGGACAATTAACATTGTTTATTTAGATATTTCAAATATATCACTTGCCATGAGATGCCATTTAAATATATATTTTAATAATATTAATCAATTGTGCCAAACCCCAAAAATAACGATAGTTTTTTTTATAAAGTATCAAATTTACAATTGCTGCTATTCGATTCCATATGAACAAATTTAATATTAAGAAATAAATGTGTTTTTAAACGGACGGGTATTTGTATATTATTTTATTTTTAATTTTATTAAAAAAAAAGAAAATGCATAAAAATATATGTTGTAATTGTTGTTTAATTTGTAATCTTATTCATTAGGTAAATGTTGTTTATTTTTAAAATAAAAAAGTTGCAAACATAAAAAAATCGTCTTATTTTTATGGATATGTAATTTTATTAGTAGTCAGTATGGAGTTGGTATATGCGCTTCTTGGACGAAGGGATCAAATTGCTTGCGCTTAAGAGAGGAGGTGGAAAACACAAAGGGTGAAAGTACTAGGTGAATGATACAAATTGTGGTATGTATGGAAAAGTAATGTTAGGAATGCAGTTGGTATAATTGCTGATAGAAAAACGAAAGATAACGCATTAGAAGTTGTAAGAACGAGTGAAAGAATAATTACAGTGAAATTTGTACTTGATAAATAAGATCTCGATAAAGAAGACGAAGAAGACAAAGACGCCTTTTCATTAAGACATACCCTGATTCTGATAGCCATGACGGTATTGTATTCCCATTTGGAGATCGACGTGTGTGCATGAACATTCTGGCGGTGAGAAACTCGATAGAAATTGAGTCCCTCTATTCGAATGGATGTATGTAGGCATTCCAAAAATCATGAATAAGTAATTTCAATTCATGATGATGATTTTGGCACTAATGTCACTGTATGGTAAAGCAAATGGGAGTCTGGAATACGCATCTATTGCCGTAAAATTTAACGGTTATTGGTATTCGAAGGCACCGGTCCTTAAGTCGATACTAAGGCGTTCGAAGGGTGATGTGGCTTTTATAAGCTTCGGAAAAGGCTTCCCATTCTTAAAGTACCTTGGCTTGATTTTAGTACACACTTACCACTAACGAATCATAGTCTTAACTTCAGCGAGAGAAAAAAAGTAAATTCTTTGATTTTATCCAGTGACATACGTGTTACCACTGGATGACAAAATGCTGTGTGATGACTTGATGGCTGAGTTTTGATGCCCGTGCCGCTTGCAAGAGCAGATGCGCGATAAAGCATCCGCTACTTGGTTGTCTTTTACTGGTCGATATACTGTCATATTTATAAGGTAGCAATTCCAGTAAATATCTTTGTATTTTTTAATTTTTGATCTTGCTAGAATGCTTGTTGTTGAACATAAATGTTACAGACTTTTGGTCAGTGTTGGCTGTGAAAGGCTTTCCTATAAGAAAATGTCGTCCCTTTTTTTTAGAGATTCAACGATAGCGTATGTTTTTTTCCCCACAACAGAATGATTTAGCTCACTAGAGTTAAGAGATCTTGAAAAGAAAACAACTGGTCTGGAAATCATGACTCAAGTTAACAGCAATCAATTATTCTGAATATTTATTTAGCGTATGGCTACATCACAGGTTATATAAATTACAAACAACAGTAAATACAAAAATATTATTCTACAAACAAACATCTAGATTATAAATATATTCGATTGACTCTTGTAGCAGCCAGGAAATCTGAAGGGTTGCCGTTATAGGATCTAATCGGGCATTCCTCTACCATGTGTTTTACTGTTTGCCTTTCGGCGCCGCAGTCGCAATTTGGTGATTGTATTTTTCCCCATCTAAAAAGTGAGTCGGAACATCTGCCAAAGTTCGTCCTTATTCTATTGAGTGTGGTCCAAATTCGTCTCGGTTGGTTGAAGCCCTCAGGTTTGCTTGTAATACATGGCATGTTCCAGTTAGCTGGTGCAGCGTTATTCTCCCATTGTTCTCTCCACCGTTCAGTTACATTAAAGTTTTGATCAACTAGCCTTTTTGCTGTTTTTAGAGGCGGGTGTCTTGAACGGAGCCTATTTATGTCTCTGGCTGAAGTTCGGACATGGGAGCGGAGCTCAGGATCAGTATTAATTTTTGTAAATTCTCTGACAAGGGCATGTTCCCGGCGGATGGGTGGTGGAGCTATATGACTCAAAGCTGGTAACCAGTAAGTGGGCGTGGCCTTGATTGTGTCCGATATAGTTCGCATGGCTTGGTTGAGTTGGGAGTGTAAAGCTAGTTCGCGTCCGTAGTAGAACACTACACGTGCACCCTGGGTAACGCTAAATGAACTAGCACAAAAGGCGCCAGACAATTCTTGAATCTCCTGGCAATTCAAATATCACAGAAAATTATTCTGAAGCATCAGTTTCAACAACAAATTAGAATATTTTCGTTGATAGCGTGAACGGTTTAATCTGATTTACTAACAGTTGTAGCTCGTTATTATTAGTGTCTAGGGGTTGTGGTCTCATTACTTTGCTATTGTTTCACAGGTGGATCGCCGTCGAACCTTCTGGATCTTAGATACTTCTCCATTTATGTTGACTAAATTGAAATAAGAAGTAGAGTATGAATTCAGGGGAACTGTCTGAACATTTTAAAACAAATAATGGGCTGCGCCAGGGAGACCCTCTCTCCTGCATACTGTTCAACCTGGCTTGAAAAAAGTAATACGTATGTCACAAATCACAAACACTGGTTGAATATATAATAAACCAGTGCGAATTCTGATCTATGCCGAAGATATCAATATTGTTGGGAGAATGGAACACTGTACGAGAAACGTAGGTATGTAGCATTAACATGATCAGCTACAAAAGTGGGTTTAATAATAAACACCACCAAAACGAAGTATATGAAAATAAACAAGCAACCACAAATCCTACGACCACTAGTTATAGAAAACAACGTCATCGAAGCAGTGAACGAATCATATACTACCGCAGAGATAAACCGCAGAATTTGCACGGCCAACAGATGCTATTTTGGGTTCAATCTCCTCCTTAAAACCACAATTATATCGAGAAATACAAATAACATATGGATCAGAGACCTGGACTATAACAAATAATTATAAAAACATATTAGGATGTTTCGAAAGTAAAGTACTAAGACGAATCTATGGAACAGTGAATACAACTTCGAATTTATAGAATATACCAGGAACCTGATATAGTAAAACATATTAAGATAGGACGTCTGATTAGGATAGGACATGTAATGCGGATGAAACAAAATGACCCAGCTAGAAAAACGCTTTTTGATAGACCTATTTGTCAGAGAAGAAGAGGAAGTCCGAGAACAAGGTTCCTTGATAATATCGATGAAGACATGGGAAATAAGGAGGGTAGGACTCACGCAGGGTTGTAAAGACAGAATGATGATAATGATGATGAAATTGAAATAAGAGAGCAAAACCTCTATGTTAAAACTTACATAATCCAACAAAAACCGTAGGAGAATAATTTGGCAGTGACACTGACTTAAATGTCAAATACTGACCAAGCTGACAGGATAAAGTTATCTACAATATTTTAAGTCTACATCTATGCAATAACAAGGAGGATAGTGATCGCATCAAAAAGGACAGTTAAACTTGTTTAACTCCATACCGATGAACTTTTCTCTAAAAGGACTATCCATTTCCAATTAAATATAGGGTTCCCTTAAAAAAATTACAATTTGAAAATTAAGTCCAACCAATGTCTCCAAAAACTTCCCACTTTCAGCTCGAACGGCTGACGAGGTAGGGATACCGAAATAATAGTTCATGGTAAATAACGTGAGTAAAAACTTCCTAAGTATCGAATCAAACCGGTGCTAAACAAAAAAATAAAATAATAAATACATATTTTATGAAAACATTTATAAATAAAACATACAGAAGTTTTTTTTCTTCTGTAATATGGCTTTGGCAGAGCCAATTAGCCAGACTTGTTTGTGTTTATTGTTAAAATCGACTGAATTTTAATTAATAGTGATTGCAGATTCATAGTCAAAATTTTGTTGTTATAAGTTTTTAATGTTAGTACTACATATACCTAATATTTATACATAAATTATATTTTGATATATTTTTTTTGTTTCTTTTTTTTATTCTTTTATTATCTTCTTTTTTTTGTTTTGTTTTCTTTTTTTGTTTTTTGTTTTTTTTTTGTATTTATTTTTTTTGTTTTTTGTTCTATATCTATTTTCTTAATTCTTTTGTTTTTTTCTTAATTTGTAGTATAATTTTTTTTGTTTTTTTTTCAAACCATATTAACAGATTATGCCTATATACTATTTACATCTTGTATTTACACATTTTAACATGCTTGTAAATGCAATGAAGAATTTCCATATTATTTGAAAATATTAAAAGATTAAGGTTTATTGGAAAACAACACAAGAATTTATTAATTCCTTATAAAGTCTAATTATTTTATATTATTAATTTGTAAATCACATTCTAATATAATATGTGTTAGATCGCCTATTTTGCCACAAGTACAATTGGGAGTATTTGATAAGCCGATTCCATGCATGTTAGATGGTGTAAGAGCATGATTTGCTCGCAGCCGATTAATGGTCTTTATAAAATGTCGATTAGATTCTGTGTAGAACCATCTTCTTGAGGGTATTAGTGTTATAATGATAAAATTTGAGCCAGTCTTACATTCTGTGTAATGTAAATGCCAATTATTTTTAAGTTTTTGTCTACTAACGGTGTCAATATCTGTCGCTGGAATTAAATTTTTGTTTACTTTTACTCCAAGCATATATTGGCCGATTTAGCCAAATTGTCAACGATCTCATTGCCTTTTATTCCCGAATGGCCCTTGATCCATGTACTTATTACATTTAATCCTAATTAGTTTCATAAAGAATTTTAAGAATTTTCAGTTCAAAGTGGTTTATGTGTTTGACTGTTTGTATGTTGTTAAATCTGTCTACC